ACTGCAGCCTTCATTTCATCATGGCTGTGGATTCAACACTTACTCAGTCTCATACAATTGGCTGACATGTGAGGACAGAGAGCAACAAGGCATGTCCTATAATATAACATCTACAATCTAGACAATTAGATAAATCCAGCAAAACATGGTTAAGGCTGTTGAGAGAGACAGCTGTGGAAATACATGGAATGGTCATTTGATGGGGCAGTGATGACTCAGTTGTAGAATGCCCATCTTCCATGTCAGGGGCCTGGGTTCGATTCCCAGCCAGTGCTCTCCAGGCGCAGGCACCACCTGCCCATCAGTGGGAGCTTGAGTGTGGTTGTGACGCAGCAGAGCTTCCTGACTCAGGTAGACGAGGAGGAAAGACTTGGCAATCTACTTCCGGAAGTCAGTCAGTGAAAACCTTGTGGATACGATGGTCCAGTCTCCAGGGCAGGGGACCGTGGGATGGTGCAGAACTGGGGGTGTTTGGTTCTGTTTACATGGGACCTCTGTGAGTTAGGGGTTAACTTTAAGGCATCTAACAGCAGCAACATCACAACCACTGACATTGTATTCAGAATGAGCAGAGGAGAGGAACCAGGGAAGGCTCTCTGGAGCAGCAGAGAACAGAGGGGCTGGGATCAGCTAAAAGGTACCTAAGAAAGATGCACCTGTAACAGTGTGGGAGCCCAGAGGATCCGGTAGGTCAGTGTCTTAGGACTTGGGGTTCGAGGTAAGAAGTGGAGGAGGAGTTAGAGATCAAGTAGGCAGGGACAAGACGGGGGCTCACCGTAACCACCATGTTCCAGCTCAGCAGGGTCAGCCCATCACCTGCTATGAGCCATTTACCATTTTTGACTCTTTATCTTTTTTATCTCTGAAGCAATATGTATTTATGATAGCTCGTTTCACTGCCATTGAGTCGATTCCAACTCACTGTGACCCCCTAGGCCAGAGAAGAAGTGCTCATAGGGTTTCTGAGTTTACAAACCTTAGTAGCAGCAGGCAGCCTCAGCTTTCTCCCTTGGAGCATCTGGTGGGCTTGAACAGCCTATTTTGCAGTTAGTAGTCTCATGCTTAACCCATGGAACCACCAGGGCTCTTTATATTTATGATGTTGTTGTTGTTGTTGCTAAGTCTCTTCTGACTCATATCGACTCTATACAGGGTTTCCAAGGAGCAGCTGGTGGGTTTGAATTGCCAAACTTTCACAAATAAAAAGTTTAGATAAGCAAAATGGGATGGTCACAATCTTAGTCCCAAATATCTTTTAGGAAGTTATAAACACTTCCATATTTTTCTTTTTTAATAGCGCTGCCGATCTTACTGTTTAAAAAGCTTCCTTTTATGCTCAATCAATATTTTACAAACATTTTTCACACATCAATGAATCTCTTCTATGTGTTGTCCTGGGGTGGCACTGTGGGTAAATGCGCTGGACTGCAGAGGCAATTTGAAAGGCAAGGTCGGCGGTTCAAGGTCACTAGCCACTCCTTAGAAAGCTTATGAGTCAGAACTGACTCCCAAGATTATAGGGGTGGTCCTGATGATCAAAAATTCAATCTGTAAGTCTCCCTTTAGCAACCTGCAAAGCGTACCCTGATAGGAAGTTCTTGGTTTGCTCCCTCTCCTGTCTGACCCCTCGAGGGACACTCCCCCGACACCCACATCATGGCATTTGCTTTACAGAAGGATGACTGTTGTATTTAGGACATGCCTGTCCTTATAGTACTTTATGACCTAAAGTCCTTATTACCTCAAATTGGTCCCAATTCAGTCGGCGTCCTGGTGTTAGCTCCCACTCGTTGGATTGCTAGTCCCAGCGTGGACAACTCCTTTCTCTTAGACAGTGCCGTGAGACTCTGTCAGTGCAGGAAGGCAGGACTGGGTTGTGTGAGGAAGGATGAAAGGAGTGAGAGACACAGCTGAGCTAAGAGCACAGCCTACTAGTGCTGCGATTCCGCTCAACGACATGTGTTCATCACTTCCTTCTTAGCGTGTACATACCTACTCCAGACTATGAAGAAAGAAAGAAAGCAATATTCCATACAATGCAGCATAGTAGGTATTCATGAAGAGGCCCTGGTGGCACAATGGTTAAATGCTTGACTTCGAACCCAAAGGTTGGCAGTTCAAACCTACCCAATGGCTCCTTGGGAGAAAGATGTGGCGATCTGCTCCCATAAAGATGATGGGGTCACTGTGAGTCAGAATCAACTCAACAATGTTTTTGTTGTTGTTGTTGTTAAGTACTGTGGACTCAGAACCGACTCACAGTGACCCTGCACAGGGTTTCTGAGGCTGTAAATCTTTATGGGAGCAGAAAGCCTCATCTTTCTCCTACAGAACAGCTGGTAGTTTCAAACTGCTGACCTTGAGGTGAACAGCCCGATTCGTAACCACTACGCTACCCAAGCACCATAGGAGCAGATCATTAAGAAATGAAAAGTGGAAATTAGACATAAGATGCTTTATCTCCTTGAAATGTTTGGCTGAGCTCATAGGACTGCTGCGGAGACCATTCCTGGATGCCGTACTGGAGTGAGCCCCAGGGGAACATTTAGGAAGAATGAAGATGCTATTTGGCATTCTAAGAGAAAGAGCGTCTTCAGACCCAGGGATTGGAATGAAAACTGCCATGGTCCTTTCTCAAAACACAAGGACTCAAAGAAAGACTAACAAGAGAGTTTTCACAGAGGAGACGCCTAGGGAAACGCCCTCAGAGAACAGCATTTATTTTGCAGTGTGGTGGTCTGTAGGATAAGAGCTGGACTGTGAACCGCATTGTCGGTGATTCAAGTCCACCAGCTGTGATGTTGGAGAAAAGATGAAGCCTTCTGCTCCCGAAAAGATTTTACAGCCTTGGAAACCCCAGACAGGGTCACTTTGAATCAGAACCGACTTGAAGGCACTTCCCCACAACAGTGACATATTTGTAGAAAACTCAAGAATCAAACAAGGAGCTCTGGTAGCGTAGTGGTTACGAATCAGGCTGCTAACCTCAAGGCCTAAGTTCAAAATTACCAACCATTCAGAATGCAGGAGAAAGATGAGGCTTTCTGCTCCCGTAAAGATTCACAGCCTCGGAACCCCTGTACAGGGTTGCTATGACTTGGAACCGACTCCACGGTACTTAACAACAACAACAACAACAGAGTCAAACAGTTCCCTTCAAGTTAATTCTGACTCATGGTGTCTCCATGTGGTTAGAGAAGAACTACTCCGAACATTTTTAAGGCTTTGACCCTTCGGAACCAATCACCAAGTCTTTCCTGCAAGATGCCTCTGAGTTTGAACTACCAACGTTTCAGTCAGCAGTGGAGCGCTCAACTGCTTGCGCCACCCAGGGGCTCCTTGTAGAAAAAGAAAAACCAAACCACACCTGGTTTATAGCGACACTGTGGGACTGAAGAGAACTGCCCTATAGGATTTCCAAAGCTGTCATCTTGATAGACACAGACGCCACATCTTTCTTCACAGAGCAGCTGATGGGTTTGAACTGCCAACCTTCCAGCCAGCAGCTGAGTATGTAACTACAAAGGGCATCTTCGTATAACAGTAGGGAGAGTAAAACTGTTCCTTACAGCGTCTGAGACTGTAAATGTTTATGGAAACAGACAACCGTAGCTTTCTCCCATGGAGTGGATTGTGGGCTTGAACCACTGACCTTGTGGCTAGCAGGCTGACACTTGATCTACAGCATCACCAGAACTCCTTTGTAGGAAAATATGGAGAATAAATCAGAGTTAGGAGATGAGGAACAATCTAGTTCAATAAGGGAAAGAACAAACTACAATCCTCTGAATTCTTTGTAAATGAAAAGTAAATGGATAAAAACAAGTTATTGAAAGTCAGTACAATTTTAGGGATGTATAAAGTTGCTTTTATGGGAGCAAACCACTTTTGAGTGCTGATTAAACACAGAAACCTCATCTCCTCATAACTGCCTTTCCGTGGGCCCTGCTCGTGATGTGTTTTGGGAACTTGGGCTCTACAGGCAGCCAACCGTGATGGAGAATTCTGGAGGGTGGGCCAAGGTCAAAATATTAAAGTTGGTTCTTTAATTTATGGATCTAATTCTTCTTAGGGAAGAACAAAGATTATGAGGTCACATGCTAGAACTTTAGTTCTGAGAAACCAGTACAAAATACAATGGACTCTAGCAACTGTCGTCAGTGGAAAAATCCCCATCTCTCAGGATAAAAAATATAATTCTACTTAGAAATTCCTGGTGCTCTCATACATGTAGGATTGGTTCTTCTTTCTGATATCTTAAAAATTCATTAATTAAAAAAGTACATAATCTGAACTCAATTAAATAGTAAGATATTATAGCAAATTCTTATTTCATGGCCTTCTCAAAATGTGAATAAGAACTACATACTGAACACAAGAAATTGTTTATTTTTCATTGGCTGCTGAGAAACATGGAGAGTAATTTTGGTCATGGTATTGGTGGGAATTATCCAAATCTGGAATACTTTATTGGTTCTAGTTGATTTTTACATAAGGGGTGGACTAATCCGGTATATTCCAGTTGATTCTAACTCATAGCGACCCCATGTGACAGAATGGAACTGCTCCAGGGGCATTTCCAAGGTAGTCATCTTTAGAGAGTGAGGCAGTAGGTTGCTAATTGAAAGGTTGATGGTTCAAACCCACTAGCAACTCTGAGAGAGAAAGATGAGGCTGCGTGCTCTCCTAAAAATTTAAGTCTTGGAAACCCTATGGGGAGTTCTTCTCTGTCCTGTAGGTTGCTAGGAGTTAGAATCGACTCAAGGACAGTTGGTTTGGTTTGGTGGTAATCTCCACAGAAGCAGATCCCCAGGTCTTTCAGATGGGTTCAAACCGTCCACCTTAAGGTTAGCAGCCAAATCCTTAACTGCAGCCCCTACTAGGGCTTCATGTGGGGCCTTGGTCACCATGTCACGACTGATGAGAAACAGATACAGCTCAGGCTCAGTGTGGACTGTTACAACCAGAGACAAATTCACCCTGGTCTTTTTTCTTCCTAGGCTCATGCCAAAGTCTGGCATCTGTACAATACTTCTTTCCGCCCAACTCAAGGAGGCCGAGTGTCCATTGCCCTAAGCTCCCACTGGATCAGTCCTCGAAGGATGACCGACCACGCCATCAAAGAGTGTCAAAAATCTCTTGACTTCGTCCTCGGCTGGTTCGCCAAACCCGTATTTCTTGACGGCGACTACCCGGAGAGCATGCGGAGTAATCTCTCGTCGCTTCTGCCTGTGTTTACGGAATCGGAGAGAAAGTTCGTGAAGGGAACAGCTGACTTCTTTGCTCTTTCCTTCGGACCGACCTTGAGTTTCCAATTATTGGACCCTCACATGAAATTTCGGCAATTAGAATCCCCCAATCTGAGGCAGCTGCTTTCCTGGATAGACCTTGAATATAATCATCCTCAAATATTTATTGTGGAAAATGGCTGGTTTGTCTCAGGGACCACCAAGAGAGATGATGCCAAATCTATGTATTACCTCAAAAAATTCATTATGGAAACCTTAAAAGGTAAGATTCCAGGGGCAAGTCTCATTTCCTGGCAAAAACCCATAGAAAAAGCAACCCTTCGGGTTACCTGTAACAAACTCTATGCATTGTGTTATTTGGTCATAATAAGATAGAGGTGCGTCTATCTTGGCATCTTGGCAATATAGGGGTGCATCTATCCAACAGCTCCCTAAGAGCCCTGGCCGGGCCGTGGTTAACTCCAGACTCCTAACAGAAAGCTTGGTGACGACAGGTCGGGAGCCTCACAGGTATTCTGTCCTGTGCAGTCACGCTGACTCAGAACAAACTCAGCGGCTGCTATGTCATTGTCCAAAATCTTCTTCTGAAAAAATACCTTTCTAACCTGGGGTTCTTGAAGAACTGAAGTCAATTTTCTTTTATTTTATTCTATACCCAGAGGCTCTGGAGGAGAAAGGACTTGGTGGTGTGCTCCTGTAAAAATGACAGCCTGGGAAACCCTGTGGGCA